CTTCACTGCCTTTTGAAGTGCTAGCAAGAGAGATTAACTGTTCTGCTACCACACCAATTTGCAGTTACACTAGTAAATCTTAAAGCAATGGCCAAGAAGCTTGTAAGACTTAAACCTCTGGCAACTGATGATCATCAAAGCATATTACCCTATTGGGCAGCAGTAGCCCTTAAAAACCCCTGGTATGGATCAGCATTTCATAACATTGTGCTTAGCACTGTATCAACACAGACACAAAAGACAGCACCTAGCCCAAGCAGCCATGTATAAGACCTTTCCAGTGTCATTCTGGGGCGGTCTCTATATACCTAGTCTTACTGTGACAGTTACATTAGCCACAGAGTAGATAGAATAGGGATAGTCTGCATGAGGGTTCACGTTAAAATTTGTGCTTCTCCAAACTTCTGAGCTGGAAGGGCCTCCATAGCTTCCCTCCAGCCTTACTGCTGACAGGGTAAATTAGGTGGTGAGCTGACCTTTCTCTGGTCCTGCAGTCAGAGGACAAAAGCCCCTCCATTCTCAATCTGTGCTGACTGCAAGGCAAAAGTTGATCCAGGCTGGCTCAGCTGTGGACTTGCAAAGTTTGTTCATGTTCTTGTACGGCAAAAGAGGTGTTCTGTGGTTGGAAAAACAGAACTGCCCAACTAGAAAAATGGCCTTGATCTGTGGATTCATGCTGCTTGCAAGCTTAACCAAACAAAAAGAGTGAAAGATGGGTATTGTGAATATTTTTCTGTGGTAAGAGTAGTTCTGGAAGTTCACAACCAGGATCCTGGACTGTGCAGGCTTAAGAACTAGCAGTAACCAAGCAACAGGTTGCCAGCAGGTGAGGGTGACCTGGGAAGGGCTTCTCTAAGTGATGGTGGGAAGAGCAGTGTGGTAGCTTCTGTGAAAGGCAGAAAAGGCTTTGGAGTGGCACACAGCTTGTTCATTAGGAAACACAGACTACTAGATGGAATGCCACAAATCAAAGATCCAAGCTAGCACACGTGAAACTGATGCAGCTGATGGGAAAAGGTGAGATTTCAATCCCACAACAAGTTCTGTGGGGACTGATCTTTGCATCTCCAGCAAATTCTGAGTGTGGTGCATGGGTAGAGGGGTTTGCTGAGCCAGGGTCATGTACATGGAATGGAGACCTGCCTGCCAGGACAGAATCCTAAGTGAGTGACTACTGACTAGCAATGTTAATGTGCTTCACCTGCGGTGGTTCTGCTACTGGGGCACTGACCCACTGAAACCTAAACATGAGAACCTGCTTCCTTTCCTCTGAGCTATAAGTCCATCACAGTTCAATACAGTGGGGGCGGGTTCAACTTTTTGGGCAGGCATGACACAAATTAGCCCTGCACCCTCCCCAAGTGCCACTCTGATTGCCTTTCTCTACCCGATCTGCTACTCTGCTTTCTGCATCCTGCCCTGTTTGACCTGCTGCTTTGCTTTCTGCACTCTGCCATATCTGCTGCTGTGCTGCCTGTCCCTTCCCCAATCTTCTGTGCAATATACAAAGGCTGCCAATGACATTTATGACACACGTGCCAAAGGTTGGCCACCCCTGGTTTAATGCATCCCTTGTCCAAACACAGGATTCATAGGAGGTAAAGACAGATGTCCCACCAATTCTCAAGCTGCACCTGAAAGACCAGACCCCCTTGAACTAAGTCTCCTAGCAGCACTTTGGAGAGGTCCTTTTAATGAATGAGCATGTGAGCAGTTGAAATTTCACCCCACCTAAAATGTTGATCTGGGTGTCACTCTTGGGAGTGAACTCAACACACACCCCCTTCTCATACAAGCAGCTATGAAATCCTCATTGCAGCATAGTCATTGACCACACAGTTCAAGCTGCCAGCTCAAAGAGGCCACTGTTGGTTCACAAACAGCTGCGCTGGCAGAGGCTGTGAGTGTATGCTTGCAACTGAGACGCAATTCAGAGGCCACATCTGGTAGGAAAGGAAGGAATAGCACTAGGTGAGCTACAAGGACAAACAAGGCATTACGAAATGATGAGATTAAAGCAAATGACATGTGATAGGTTTGGGCCGCCGGTCTCCAGAAAGCAAGACCTTGGTGAGCACGTGGTGTTTGGAACAGGTACATTTCCGGGTCTCTCCACTTGTTTCATCTCTTTCCCAAGATCACCTACACCACATGGTTTTTAGGCACCTCTCAACAGCTTCCAAGGTACTCCAGAGAGCACTGTTGAGAAGTATGCCTCACCCGCCCCTCTTGCTGTGCATGTTCCAAGCTCAGAAGTGAGCTTGGGGAGGCATCCTGATGGCATCCTCTGCCACTGCCCTGGAGCTTCCTGGGTCTGGCATGCTTGACAGAAGCAGTGTAGGGGCACCTTTAATATCTCCTTGGTGCAGGTGGGCAGGCCTTGCTTCTGAAAAAGTAGTCCTGCTATTACATCGAGCTTCATTGGGGTGCAGTTTTGGCCAGTCATGCCCAGCTGTGGGGGTTTGTCCTCATGACATTCCCAGTTAAGTATTTGCACCCAGACTGGTTTACATAATGTGTTTGCTGGGATTTGTATTTAGCTATGCAAAAAAAAATGGCAAACATCTGTGTGCACCTGCATGGAACAACATTTTGCTCAGCATGGAAGCACATGTGGGGCAGGGACCCATTTTTTCTGCTAAGGTTATAAAGCACTTACCATACTTTTGTAGCTAATTAATGAGCTAACTAACCAAATATTGTAAGTTACTGGAAATTTTAATAAGTAAACAAACCTAGATTTGAACATGTAAACCTAATTACATAAAGGCAACTGCTCTACCTGCAAGGCTACAGCAGATGAGGACTTGAGTAATACCATATATTCTACCTGACCTCTCTAGTTTGTCCCATTTGAGCTCCTCTAGCCACCTGGCTCCCTCCAACTTATAAAAGGAGGAGCTTGAGCTTTTTTTCCCCCCACTTTTACTCTTTTGCTGCCTTTCTGGCAGTTTCTTTTTGTCCATCTTCTGGTGTGTTTTGACAGGTGCTTTTATTGTTTGAGATTTGATTAAACAGCTCTTTTGCTGGGACAGTGGAAATGCCTAGTCTGTGTGGCAGCTGAGCATGGTGTGGAGTGTCATGAGAAAAAGTTAGGAGGGTTTATAAGCATAGCCCGTGTACTGGATAGCTTGTGGCTTGGGTGTGTTTGTGCCTGTGGATCTTAATGAGATTATTGATTTCAGCCTCTGTGGCTTGTCCTGTTTCTCTTCCTCTTCAGAAAACATGCCTTGTCTGTTGTGTTGTGACCGTCCTGGGCAGTAGCCATGGGTCATGTCATGTCTCCTCTGATGGCAAAGTCTAGGGAAGGTTTTGGGGGAGGAAAAACCCATGCCTTTCCCATTTCAAATGTTCCTCTCTCTCTCCCTCTGTGCTTGAAGGGCCATCAAGGAAGTTGACTCCTTCCTCAAGAAAGTTGATGGGGATGTAGTGGAAGAGTAGACCCTTCTCTGGTATCCCAATTCTGCAGGCCCCACATGTCTTTGTGAGGTGGAGAAGGGTCTCCAGTGAGTGGGTGGGTCATGCAGCTTGTCACTACAGTGGCTTTTCAATGGAGTAGCTGCTGGGTGTTAAGAATAGCTTGCTCCACCGCCCTGCTGGCACAGGCTGCCAGTGGGGTCCAGGGCAAGTGAGGATGAAGCTATAGCAATGCCACTCTTTCACCTAATGGGCTAGGGGCACAACCCCATCCTATTTAGTGCTAAACTGTGTCCTTGCTTCAGCACTTAGCTAGTGCTCAGGCTCTGAGGAACGGAGGTTCTGGTGACTCAAGCAGGCTAATGGAGTCCATGAGTACCTTCATGCCCTCTTGCCCCTGGGACACGGCAGCTCCTCCCTCTCTGTTCTCACCCCAGGGCTTCTAGTGAGTCAACTTCCACTCCACACGAGTCCCAGAGCCGCCTGCCCCTTGCGTACTACAATGAGGATGCTGGCTGAGACTCTCCAAGGTATTGCTAATTTGAAACGAAGAAACAAACACCTTTCTCGCTCCCCTACTTCCCCAGTACTCACCAGAATTACCACCTCTTCCTCTTGTGGCCCACGGGCCCCATGGCAGGTGCCTCAGCTGCTCACATTGAAGATCTGTTTCCCTTTTATGCCACAATTTGTTTTCCTGTTGAGATAACCAAGGTTGCTCTGGTTTTTGTGGATATGCTGATATCAGGCCTGATCTTCCAGGTGCCCTGAAGGTCAGGAAGTCAAGACTGAGCCCTCAAAACTTCCACAGCTGTGGCCAAATTTCCAAGGAGCTCCTTCCCTGAGTCCCCTTCTCCGTGCATGCTCCTGGATACTGAGCACTCTGACACCGGCTGCTGATCAAGGGGCTGCAACTGGAGCTGAGCTCCCTTGAAAACCTGGCCCTGACTACAGATATGAGCCCTTTCCTTTCTAAAATGCTAGGACCCAGCTACCTGCGCTGAAGTCATTAGATGCATGAGATGCTCCGTATCTCTCGAATCAGGCCTATGAACGCTATGGGCTAAAACCTTTTGGTGACTTTAGAATATCCCTCTTCTGTGGGTAGGGCTGTGGCATGACATGCATTGTTTCTCCCTGAGCTGCATTTGTGTGCTAGATTTGTTTTTTTGCTGCTCTGTAAAATATTTATGGCTGCGTGGTTGTAGCTGACAAGCGTGAGTACTGGAGCCTGCAGGCATTTTTCCTGCCAAAATCTCCAGTTGGCTTTGATCAGGACTTTCTGAATGGGAAAACGTGAAGAGTTCAGCACCTTGCAGGGCAGATAATGTATTTGGCACAGTGGGCATTGTCCTGAAAAAAAAGAGGAATGATGTCACAGTGCAAGAAGGTTCCAGAAGCTCGTGATTCTTGGTGTCAGCGGGGGAGCAGGTCTCCAAACCAAGTCACAGTGGCAAGGGAGCTGTAAGCCCCATGTCTGAGTGTCATGCTGCTTGCAGACCTAGGATAGACTCAGTCTTCTTGACCCTTCTCGGTCAAAGTCTGTGAGAAGGTGCAGGCGTGTCCTCCATCTCTTTGACCTGTATCAGCAAGGATCTCTGCCATCCTGTTTCTGCCGAGAGTTTATCTCCATCATCCCAGATGGCTGAGGTGAGCATATGAGGAGCTGACGGACAGGCAAGGAAAGACAAGTGATGTCTGTGCTGTGGAGGAATCGGGAGTTGAGAGCTGTATGTGTTGGGGGAGGACTCTGCTTCTCCCCTCTGCAGGCCCATGCAGTGTCATTAGACACTGACTTCACCTACGCAGGGGAAATCCATGTCTCAGCAGCAGTAGAGGTCCACCAGCAATATCAATTTGGATACATGTTAACCTTGTCTACACTGTTGGTAGCAAGGCACTACTGCATCCTTGCCAGAAAACACCTGCTTGTTTCCCAGCGTAAACCCACCGGAGGCATGAGGCAGCATTGACAATGAAGCCAAACTTCTCCAGCTTTGCAGGTTTCTGTTCTTGGGTGTCATCGTGACAACTTGCATCTGATCGTCAGATCAGCTGCTGAGACAAAGTAGTTAGCACTAAATTCCAGCAAGTAAGAAATCAAGTGAAGAGGAACTGAAACCTCTTTTATGGCATAGAAAATGATATTTATGTGGGAATACAATTGCTGAGTTCAAGTGAGGCCAGTTGCCTGATTTGGGGCATCATCAATATGGAAAAGGGTCAGAATACCATGCAAGAAACACTGGATGGCCTTGAGTAGTAGAAAGCACATGGTCATGCACTTAGGAACTAATAACAGGAATGGCTGCAACAAGCGGGGAGCTCCACAGTTGGAAATGGCTGAGTGGGGAAGGACTTGAATGTACTAGCTGGTAAGGGGATGGCTGAGCCGCCAGTGTTAGGCAGCCACGAAAAACCAAACATGAGCCCAGGAACATACCAGACAGGGCATTTCCAGTATTAATGCCCTTGTACCCAGATCTGATGAGACTTTGTCTACAGTATTGTGTATACTTCTGGTCAGCTGATGCACTCAGACTAGAGCAAGTGCAGAGAAGGACTCCTAGGATTATTGGGGAAATGGAGAGAAAAACTAGAAGAGATGGGCTTGTTTAGCTTATCAATAGGAAGGCTGAGAGGGGATATCTGTAAATACATCTGGGTTTAAACACCAGGGAAGCAGGAGGGCTCTTTGAGCTGTCGGGTAATGGTGGTACCAGAACAAGTGGGTATAAAACTCAGCAGGACCAACTTTAGGTTGGAAATTAGAAGCAGGTTTCTGAAACTGAGCAGGAACAACTTTAGGTTGGAAATTAGAAGCAGGTTTCTGATCCTCAGAGCAGGGAGGTTCTGAAGCACCCTGCTTGTGGGAGAATTGGGGGCAAAAAATCTGTTTCCACATCAGCACTTAATTGGCTTATGTCAGGGATCAGGTGAGATGGTTTATGATGGCAGAGGACAGGACTACCTGACCTATGAGGTCCCATCAGGTGTGGGGTCTGTGAGGGACCCCCTCCCTCACTGCTGAGGCAGGGCTAAGGTTAGCTCTGTCTCGGACGGCCAGAGCCGACTCGAGTTAAGTTAGAAATTGCTTGTACGTTAGGGCGGGCTGGTGAATGGAGAGGCAGACACAACTTATTGGTTGCAAAAAACTTTACTCATGCCGCTTGCAATCATGACGCAGGTGGTCCGGTTGTCTGAACAACCACACAAGTTGTTCCAGCTGGCGGGGCCCAAGCCAGTCAATCCGTCCGCAATTCAAGCCGGCGGGAAAAGGGGACGTCTGGGGTTGCGCTTGGCAACGGGAAGAAAGATCGATAGGTGATCAGTCTATCGATCAGCTAGCCGCAAGTCAGATCTCTTTAGAGGCACTCTGCAGCGTGCTCAAAGTTCTTCGACTTGGGCGGAAGTCGCGTGGAATTTTAAACGGCCAGCGAGCCAATTACTAGCCGCCACGTGTGAATAATTTAGCACTGGCCAATAGCGGGACACAAATTTGCATTTGAATAGCGGGAACTCTTTGCACCGTGCATTTCTGTGCTGCAAAGAAGAAATGCACCCTGCAAAGAAGGCTGCAATTTGGCGGGAACTCTCTTGCACCGAGGTTTCTCTGTGCAGCAAAACCCTCGCTGTGCAAGAGGCTCTCATGTGGCAAGAAAATCCCATTGTGCCGAGGCACCAAAAATCACTGGGTTGTGACAAGCTCCAGGCTTCCAAATGAAAGCTACCCCTCTTGGCTATGTATGAGTTACTTCTAAACCTCCAAACTCACATTTGCTGTTCTTAATTTCTGACATCAATCATCAACAGCAAATATGATGGGCTGGGGGAGATGCTGAGCTGGTGTGCTTTGAGATTAAAAGGAGAGACATTTGGCTAGGAGTAAATGGGCTACATGGGTGGTTCTTGTCTTCCAAGATGACCCTGAGAATTGCAATCTCAGTGTAGGCCATTTATGGATTCATATTCACCTGACTTTTCCTCTTTCTGCTGCTGTTCCAGATGATGGCTATCAGAACCCAAAAGTTCAATGTGTTTGTATCCGAGCCAATGGGTGACAAGGATATTACAAAAGTAGATGGGATTAATGATGATCTCGGAATGAAATTAGCTGCAAAAGGCTTTAACAAGGTAATCTCCCTTCTTCCTTACCAGGCTCCTTTTTTTTTTCCATTTTTTTTTTTTATACTCAGTGAGTACCATGGGATTATTTCATTAAAGAGGTGTTGTCTGTAACTTGTGATCTAGCATCTCCTGCTTAGAGTATTTCAGCACAATATATTAATCTGAAATGTGGAGTGCAGTTCCACTGAATTATTCAAAGGAATTGATGCCAAATGTTACACAAAGGGACAAAGTCAAATACCTTGGGAAATTGATGCAGTTTGACAGTTACTCCATCTTCAAGTTCTACCCAGTAATATTCCAACCATGCCTTTTGGGCGTTTTCAACCACTTGTCATTATTGTTGCAGAATTTGTTTGTTCAAAGGCCAAAAGGACTTCCCATGGGGGAGAAGGAGGTGGTTTGGAAGCTGTATTTATGGAATTGAAAATTCACAGCCTACAGTTGTTGTGATGAGGCTGGTAGCAGCTACAGTAAAGAGAGTTAAGCTACTAAGGTTACAGGACCAGCTTGGGAAATTCCACTGATGGATAAGCTGGACCCTGTGAGGCAGCATAGGCTTTTACTGTCCTACTCCCTATCCTTGGATGCCCTTTAGCCATCTCCCACATAGAAAACAATTATATCACTCCTACTCCCATTTATCTTGGGTGTTGAAAGGCTGGTCAATAGGAAGAGGCATGGGAAGCTCTCTACCAGGGTTTTAGGAGCAGAGTCATTTCCACCTACCTGTATATGTGATCTCATTTGAGTGGTTAATATGTATGTACCTTGGGCACAACCACATGTGTGGTGAGCTGGGTGGTTAATACAAAATAGACTGTGGTCACAATGTGCAGGCCATGTCTCTTCCTAGTATATGCCGCTACCATGTACCATTCTGAGCTCCTCCTGCTCAGTCTGCACTGAACTGGAGTACCAACGGGCAGGTGGCAGAATCCTTGAAAAAGTCTTTTAGGTGACAATGTCAGTCGAGAGGCAGGTCCGTGTGTAAACACCACAGCTGCAAGTCTCTCACAAACTAGAATTTGAAGCGACAATCCATTCACGACACAGCAAACTGAATGAGGAATTATTTCTAGCTATGACTCATGCCCTGCATAAAGTCACAGCAGAAACTGGCCCAGTGCTTCCTGGAGTATTGCAAGGATGGTGTTAACCTGCAGAAGTTTGGCATCATGAAACAAGCCCCTTTCAAGGGAATCAGGGCATGAAGCTGCATGAAACTTAATAACTTCATGGATGCTTATGGAGCTGGAAAATAAAAGGAGAAGCTTTTGGCACTGTGGAAAGGGAATCTGTTGTCAGCTTGTACCAGAGGAAACTAAACACTTTGACTACTAAGTCTTGGTGATCTTGTTCCTCTTGGTCTACAGATCTCAGCCCCATTTAAAAAATGGACAATGCTCTTTACACAGGCAGTGCCCAGCAAAATAGTTACCCCTTTTGACCTGCACAGTGAGCGGAAATGAAGGGTCTCATGGGCTCTTCTGGTGTAGAGAAGAACTTCACAGTGGAGTTGGGTTCTTTCTGATGCAACCCTGTCTTGTTACAAAGAATATGTGAAGTCCCATTTCCTTGAGCCACAGGAGTAAAAATGCAGATGAGACCTTCCTTGACTGCAGTGAGCACCTCTCAAAGCAGCCAGCTGCTGTGTGTCGTACAGGTTAATTGGGTGCCTGGCTCAGTGGTTAGGATCAGGGGGCAAAAATACTAGCTTGTGCTGTTCGCTTCTTCCTTGCAGGCATACATCCTTCTGGGCCAGTTCCTCCTGTTGAAAAAGGACTCTGCAGTTTTCCAGAGATGGCTGAAAGGGACTTATGGAGCCAGTCCCACTGAGGCTCAGCAGTGTGCTTCCTGCCTGTTGGAGTGGTGCTGTTCCTTCCTGTAAAGACCTGCCCACTAAGCTTTGATGGTACACTTAGCAGGACTCTTCCAAGGACTGAAATAAAGCAGCTCCTGAATGAATTGTACAGCCCAAATGGCTTATATTTGGATAGTTGCTGCTGTCCCCAATCCTGTAAATGCTTGTGTGCAGGGACTGAGCTTGTTCTTGGGCAAAGCAGGTCACGTTCTGCCTTTAGGGAGTTCTGTGAATCCTCACTGTATCTATGACCAGAGTCCTAGCATGGTGCAAATGGGGAAAGCTGGAACTTCCTGATTTTAGGTGAACCGTTAATTAAAATCCTGGTTCAGCAAGGTACATAAGCAGATTCTTAACATGAACTGCAGGACTGGTGCCGCTGCCCTCGGGCATCTAGGCCTCATGCTTTAATTTAGAGAAGTGTTTTAATTCCCTGCAAATCTGGGCTTAAAAGGCAGGATGTTTTTCTGGTTCAAGCACTAGGGTAGGACTCGAGACATGTGGGTTTTGTTCCTAGTTCTGGCAGAGCAGTCCATATCCAGCTGTGGGAAGTTGCTGTAATCTAGAGCAGCATTTCTCAACCCATGGGTCGTGACCCAAAAGTGGGTTGCAAGAATATATGAATGGGCCGTGAACAAACTTTAAAAATGGATCATATTTTGCATACATTTTTGAAAAAATAGATGCTGCTTGTGCTTCCCCATATGTTAATGCTGTGCATACTAATAAACAGGGATCCAGATTTTCCATTTGCCATGGAAAAATGTGAATTTTCTCCTTTAAAGAGCTGCAGTAGAGCTGTGGCCTGATGAACAAGCAGCTGGCAGAGAGAGGAGGCAAGGGCAGTGCAGCTGCCGCACCCCTACCCCTGTCCGTTACTCCTCATGCTGCTGGTGGTGCAGCTGGTGTAGGGGTCTGGGTGGCAGCGGCAGCAGCAGCAAAAAGTCTCACTGCTGTGCTCTGCCTTTCCATACCTGCTGGGCCATGGAGGTGGCTCCTGTCCATGCCAGGACCAGCCAGGCTGCAGCCCCATGCCCACTGTGGGCACACAAATCTGGGAGGGCATGTGCCCCTGCCACGCCCCCTCTCCCCCTGCCCCACACACTGGGGGGCTGGGGAAAACAGGTTGGAAGTGAAGGGCACCAGCAGGGTGGGGGAATCGGGGGTTGTGGTTTGGATGGGAGTGAGGGGCGCTGGTAAGGCTAGGGAGCTCTTTTCTAGCTAAACTATTTACTGGGCTGGGACTAGCCCTCTGTTTACAAATGGGTCCTGGTACAAAAAAAGGTTGACGCCCACTGATCTAGATCAGCCTCAAGGCTTTACACTAGTTGAGCCCAGAATTTGGCATTCTCGTTGTCTTTACCCCTAGCTGTGCCATTTGTGGGTGAAGAGGGGATTCCTGAAAGGTTTCTGGATTCCCTCTCTCCCTTTCATGTATTCACTCAACCATACTTATGTGCTTTGTTTCCCTCTGGCATCCTTTGCCATACTGCTTCATGGGACAAATGACTGGCATTCTGGAGTGACTCAGTAAAAAAAAAAGCATCATCGTGATTCCACATTGTGTGTCTGCCTGCAGTTCAGCTGTGTTCACTTCACATGTAAAAAACTGAGGTGTGTTTTCCCACCTGTCATTCCACCAAACTGCTTGGGCTCAGAATATAACTGGATTACTTTCTGGTGCTGGTGATGTGTACTAAAGATTGTAGCGTATAGGGATGTCAGTGAGAGGGTGTCATCAGCTACCATCCAGGAATCTAGCGTTCTTAATCGGCTCAGGCCTGCTGTGAGTGAGTCTGCTATGAACACTTATACTTTTTTGCCATCACATTCTGCCCAGGAAGGCACATAAATAAATCTGTGGAAGTCCCTGAAATGTAGTGTATTAGGATTCTGCTGCTGCTGCTGCTGTGTAAAAAGTAACAGATTCCAGCTGGTTCCCTGGTAAAGTTAGCAAGACCCTGAATGCAGGTAATCAGCTGAGTAAAGATGATGCTATTTTTTACATCCACGGACTGTCAGGCCTTTGCTCCTGAAAATGTGGCAAGTTGCATGTCCATTTTGCATAGACAGTATTAGAGGTTTGAAATCCTGCAAGAGGGAAGAGCCTTTTAACCTTCCCCAGAAAACCCATCACCAAAGCGCAGATGCCTGGCCTCTTTCCACTAGGCTAGGGACAGACTTTACACATAAACCTCTTTAAGTGATCAGAAACTGGTTTAAGCCTGTAACAGAACAGGCATTCAGTGCACATAAAGCAGTTTGAAAATGACTGAAACCGATTTGAGATAAACCTGGTTGAATGTAGTATCAAACTTAACTGATTTGGGTCAAACTGGTTTATGTGATGTCTGTCCCAGACCCCTTCCTGGTTTAACTTAAACCAGAGTCCTTCAGCATCCCAGATGCTTTGCAGCCCTGGGAAAGGCTCTCAGCTCCACAGCCAAGCTGGCCCCTCCCCTCTGCTCCCTGGCTGGAGCTCCAGCGGAGACTTGCAGGCACAGCAGGGTCTGCCTGGCTTCCCCCTGCCCCATACCTCCTTCACCACTTGCTGCTTAAGCAGGGATTCCCCCCTCCCCTCTCCCAGAGCACAGACCATAGCCAGCATGTGGTATGCTAGCTAATGCTGAGAGGTATCTGTGTAAGGCAGACAGGACAGTGCCAGTTTAGGGCTTTTTGGAGCTAATCAACAGGTAGCTGGTAGCGTTCCTCCAGTCCTTCCTTGGAAAAAGTTGTTTAAGAAGAGCTTGAACTAATGAGAGAGACTTTTGTTTTGCTGGTGGGCTGTGTAACTCCCTGATGTGTAAGTAAATGCTGTGTAACTCCCTGCTGGCTCTGTCACTGGTCAGAGGAGCAGCAGGGGGGGTGGAACCCCTCCCTAATCAGAACGTCCTGCTGTGGCCTGGCCATGCCCCCCCACTCAGCGCTGTGGAAGGGAAGGAAGGGCTGCTATAGTACCCCCCGGCTTCTAGTCCAACCCACAGCAGACATGTGCCTGCATTTCTTCAGTCCAGAGGGGATGTCTGTATGATTACAAACTGGTTCAGCCTAGCCAGGTTAGACTAACCTGCAGAGATTGAATCAATTCAGGCTCAAGCTTTTTGAATGTCTGTCTTTAGCCCTACTGTGCATGTCCCTGGAGCACTGACCCAGGTCAATGATCCTGGCTTCTGTGAAGTGGAATAGCTGCTATAGCCTGGAGTGCTGTTTTTGTAGAGGACACAGCTTTAAACATCTTGAACTAAAAGTCGGTTTCCTTGCCAGACAGCTCAGGTTTTGACGTAAGCTCTGCTCCACGCATGAATAAAAAGCAAGATTCTGGCTTTGTCTTCAGTAACCCTATATCCCAGTAGTGTCTGCGTGAAAGAAAATAGTCAAGAATCATTGGGCTTCATCTCAGAACACCTCTTCCTTTTAAAAGACATCTTCATTTCATGTGTCCTTACTGGGTTACAGCAGGACTTCCAGATTTGAGGTTTCCTTTGAAAATTCTATGCTCAAAGGCTGGAGGAAGGTAAGACAATTGTCCACTGGAGAACCCATTTTTCCAGAAGCATAATAAAGCAGCTCTATGGCCTGGACAGTGGCAGTCCACAGGGCAGGGCTGGGTACCACCAGCAGTGCTGTAAACAGCTGCCAGCTGTGGTGGCAGTCATTTTTTCCCCTCCCTTTCTCCCCATGATAGCAGCGCCTGGGTCTGCTGCCCTGGTCAGCTTCCTCCTCCCCTGCTCCCCACCCCCCCCTTAGTTCAGCTACTGCATTTTTCTCTGTAACTTGCATCACTGGTGCATTTCCAAGAGGGAAAAAGCAAAAGCCTGGAGCTTACGGATGACTAGCGGGAAAAACTTTTGCCATCCTGAATGCCAGGACCTATGTTTTTTGAGGTAATGGACATCTTCTCAGGAGGGTGACCTGACTGTTACTTGCAAGTATACCAAAGACTGTGTGATAACTGGTCTGTTCCTTCATGGTATCATTTTATGCCTTTGCAACAAAAAAGCAGCTGAGAAAGTGTCAGCGGCCACTGCAGTTAATAAACCCGCCGAGGGCAAATCTGGCCTCACTCTAAGCAGGCCTGGTTCTGAAAGCCCTAGTCCTGTAGCCGCTTGTGCCAGGGATGAATCAGGCCTCAGAAGGCTAAATACAGCAGGGACAAATATGAAGGCAAGTCTTGTGGTGAAAGCATTTAGCAGAAACACAGGAGACCCATTTCCAGCTCCAATACAGACTGTATGATGTGGGACTTCATCTCTTTGTGTCTTCATTCTCTGTCTGTAAAAGGAGGTTGTAGAGATTTCCTTTCTTCTATGCTTTACCTTCAAACTTAGACATCATAGCATCCCCAAGGAGAAGAATTTAGGCTGCTTTGCTAAAGGAGTGATGAGGAGGGAGATAAAAAAAAGTAGGCGCAAATCTAACTGCTCCTTTAGGTGGGTAAATAGCACTTATGTGGCTAATATTAGCCACACAGGTGGCATTTAAGGCAATTACACAGATTCTAGGTCCTGCTTTCCCCCTGTACAGCTCTGTACATACTTAGACCTGTTCTAGGCACTTATGCTCTATTCTGATGCTATTACCCCTGCTCCACCCTCCCAGAGGTTAGCCACAGGAAAACCACAGCTAGCAACTGAACAGAGGAGGATCCGCTCCTGCCCCAGTACTGTCCCTCCATTTTCTCTTATGAGTATTTCATGCAAAATGCAGAAACACTCTTGGGAGCAGGAGCTGGTCCCCAGATTGAGGATCCCTTCCTTCCAGGACCGTGCCCTACTCACTGGCTGTGTCTACATGAGATGCTTTACTGCAGAGTAGACTAATCTACTGTGCAGTAAAGCTTAACTGTCCACACCTGCAGGTGCTTACTGCACAGTAAATTTACTACCTGCATATGTAGGTACTAAATTTACTGCACAGTAAAATCAAATAGTATTAACTGCATGTGTAGAAATGACCCTGAGTCACAGAGCCAGGCTCCCTTTTTACTCGCTCTTTTTCTGGTTCCACAAATTGTTGTTTTGCCTAGCCCATAGCCTGGTAGTTAGGGCAGTGTTCTGGGAAGGAGGAAATGTAGGTTCAAACTTCCTCTAGGGAAGGGGGACCTAAAG